GGAGGGGCGGGAGAACGAAAGCAAAAGTGGCGGGAAAAGGGAAAGTTTTGGGGGGAAAAGACGGGAAAGTGGTTAAACTCGGGGGGGGAGGGGAAATGGAGGGAGGAAATGGGGGAGGAAATAAAAATAATGGGAGGAAATGAAAGGGAGGGAAATGAGAGAAAAGGGGGAAATGGGGGGGAAAAAGGCAAAAATAGAAAAAAAAGGAAGAAAGGAAAAGGAAGGAGGGAAAGGGAGGAAAAAGAGGAAAAAAGTGAAAAGGGTCAAAGCAAGGGAAAGGAGGAAATTGATAAAAAGGGGAAGTCAGCAACACAAGGGAGAGGAGAAAAGGGGAAAAAAAAAGGAAAAAAAGTGGGGGAAATTAAAGTAATTCTAAAAGGGAAAATTATCGAAGAGGGAAAATGAAGAAAAAGAGTAACAAAGGGAAGGGGAAAAAATGAAGGCGAAAAAAAGAACTCTGATATAAAAATGGGAATATTCAAAGTATTTATTGAAAGAGGGAAAATAATTTCAAAAGGAAAAACAATGGTATAAGGAGATAATGTTTAAAAAGTGGAAAGCGATTAATTAACAATGGAGAAGAATTAAAAAAAAAGGAAAAATAATGAACTGGAAAATAACTTTAAAAGGGGAAATATCTTCAAGAGTATCAAATCCATAAAAAAGGGAAATAATCAAAATAAAGGGAAAATCACGAGAGAAGGAAAAATAGTAAAAGAAAAACTATTAATAAAAAGGAGAAAATAATCTAAAACAACGAAAAATAATAAAAAAGCCAAAATAACGGGAAATGTAAAAGTAAAAAAAAGGGGGGGAAAAAAGGAAATAGTAAAGGAAAAGCGGCGACATGGGAAAAATAGGGGGAAATGGGAATGAAAGAGAAATTAATTTAAAAATAGAAACGTAACCAAAAAAATCAGAATTAAAAGAATTAAAAATTAACCAAAAAACCCAAAATGACCGAAAGGCCCGAGCGGCCCCGGAGTGGGGGGGTGGGTGGGGGGTGGGGGAGGGGCCCCGGGTGGGGGAGGGGCCCCGTCACAACTTAAACCTCCTTTAACTTGTGACGGCATCGGGCGATGCCGGGGGGGGGGGCGGGGGGCGGGGGGGGGGGGGGGGGGCCCCCGGGGGGCCCCCCCCCCCCCCCCCCCCCCCCCCCCCCCCCCCCGCCGCCTTCCCGCGGGTTTTTCCCCTTTTTCCGAAGTTTTTCGGGGAAAAGCCGGGGTGGGGGAGGGGATGAGACACGGGGGGGGGCGGGGCCGCCCCTGGCGCGGGGACCCTCCCCCACCCCGCGAGCCCCGCCCCTTGGGGCTGGGCTCAGCCAATCCAGAGCAGCCTCATGGCTGCCTCCTCCCATTGGCTGCGGGCGCTGCTGTGATTTGCATATCTCCGCCCCCACCGCGCCGCGCGATCTTAATTGGCTCGGCGGTGCCGGTTTCATTTGCATATCGCCACCCTATTGGGCCCGCAGGGCAGTGACGTAATGGCGGGGAGCTGCAGGTGACGCCCCACCCGTGGCTCCGCCCCCTGCGCCAGCGTCACGGGAGCCACGTGCTCGGCACGAGCGCCAAGCCCCGCCCCTCAGAGCTGTTTTGCATAAGCCACACCCCCTTCCGCAGGCCACGCCCCTCGGGACCCCCCCCCAGCCCCGGGATTTGCACACCTGGAGCCCCTTGCACACACCTGGGCGAGACCCCGCCCAGCCCCAGGTGTGACACGGGGCTTTGCACGCCCACAGCCCAAAACCCCCCCCA